CCCGCGGCTGCAGCACCAGCGCACGCACACGGCCGAGCGCCCCTACCGCTGTCCCCACTGCGGCAAGGCGTTTGGCCAGAGCTCCAACCTGCAGCATCACCTGCGCATCCACACTGGCGAGCGGCCTTACGCCTGTCCCCACTGCTCCAAGGCCTTCGGCCAGAGCTCCGCGCTGCTGCAGCACTTGCACGTGCATTCCGGAGAGCGCCCCTACCGCTGCCAGCTCTGCGGCAAGGCCTTCGGCCAAGCTTCCAGCCTCACCAAGCACAAGAGGGTGCACGAGGGCGCAGCTGCGGCAGCCGCGGCAGCCACAGCTGCTGCCACTCCCCTGGGCCTTAGCCCTGCTTCGATGTTGCGGCCTGGGCAGGTCTCCCTCCCGGGTCCTGATGCTGCCCCTGTGCTTGGTTCTGGCCTGGGCCCCAGCTCTGGCCTGGGCACGGACCCATGCTCTGTGCTGGGCTCCCTCCCCAATCCCAGCCCCAAACCTGGCCCTGGCTCTGAATCTGCCCTCACCCCTGATCCTGTCAAGTCCTCTGACGCTAAGCCTGGTCATGATGCCAATCCTGACCTTGTGGCCAGCCCTGGCCACGGATCTGGTCACAGCTCGGACCCAGATCCTGTGCCCATCCCCAGCCCCAACCCTGAGTCCCGCCCTGACCCCAGCCCTCCCACCCCCGACAGCTCAGCCCTCCCTACCTGTGAGAATCCCGAAAGGGTGCAGGAGCGAGGGGCACTGCTGGGGCCTGACGGCTGAAAGGGGTGCCATCACCCACGGAGGCCTGGAGAAGTTGTGTGTTGTGCAGTTAGTAAAATCTTCCCGCTGCCTGCTCGCTCTGTTTCATGGTTCTCCGGTTTTTTCCCTTAATGCATAGCTCCTCGAAACGGAGTGGCCTGAGCCAGCCACACATCCGGAATCCTAATGTTCTGGCTCCCCCCTGACATCCTCCGAGCTTCCCAGCATCCCCCATCCCAGCAGTTACCACTCTGCTCCCCCAGACCTGGTCACCTTCGTTAGGAGCAGACTTACCCAGCAGGTGGTCGGAGAGCACCCGTCCCTTTGGTTTATCTGATGGTGGGGCCGGTGTGCTGAAGTTAGGGGGCTGATAATGGAGGCGGATAAGAAGCCATGGGCAGTCCTGCCTTGTCTGTTCCCCTAACTTACCCCCTGCCCCTCGAAGTCCACACTATAGGCACACCACTGGACAAAGGCTGCTCATGTATGCATTCAATAAACATCTATTGAGCTCACAGGTACCACATTTGGAAACATTTAAACAGTAATTACATGGTCTGGTATGTTCTAAATGTATAAAGGACTCTGATTTAGTTCGGGGACAGCTTTCTCAGGAAGGACCACCAATTTAATCATCAGCACTGCCCAGCCTTGTGCTACGCTTTTGCATTTTCTCCATGAGGCAGGCAACTATGGTCGAGCATCCCCATTCGGCAAATGATGAAACCGAGGCACATGGACTTTAAGGGGCTCTTTGGAAGACAAGAAATGGCAGTTGGCAGCGCCTAGATTTTAACCTGAATTGTCTGCCCCCACCCCCCAGCCTGTGTTCTTAACCATTATTCTCCAGGGCAAGAGTGCTCAGAGGCTCTGGGGCCATTGAAAAATGAACTGGGGGCCCGACAGTGTGGCCCAGTGGTTGAGCATCAACCTATGAACCAGGAGGTCATGGTTCAATTCCCAGTCAGGGCACAGGCCCGGGTTGTGGGCTCTGTCTCATCATTGATGTTTCTATCTCCCTCTCCTTTCCTCTCTGAAATCAATACCAATAAATTTTTTTAAAAAGAAAGATGAACTAAGGAGGAGGTGGCGGCGGACCGGAAGGCTCTGGTAGGTTGCTGCAGGGAGTTTGTCATCTCAGAGAAACGGGAAGCCGCCGGCAGGTTCTGGGGAAGGACTGATAGGAATTACTCTTTGAAGACGGTCTGGCTGCTGATGGAGGTGTAATGGGAGGGGTCGGGAGTGGGAGTCTAAGATCGGAGAGGAGGTTGCTGCAGTGGTCCGGGCCAGGAATGGTGGGGACTCTGGGCTCAGAGCTATAAAAGTGAGAATAAGTGGGCCTATTTGGGATATAATTAGGAAGTGAAATAGGATTTGCTGATAGGTCATGAGAGGGGCCGAAGAGGAAGGATTTGAGAGCAATCCAGGAATTTCTGGGAGGATGGAGGGAAACAACCCTTAGAAAGATGTAGGGTCATCGCTGGACATCGCGGACATGGAAGTCAAGATGCCGGCAGGACGCAGGCAGGACAGGGAGCCCGCCCATGTCGCAGCATCTGGCTCGCCCGTCGGCGC